TGTGCTTGATGGTTCTGACGTCGAAGGTCTCCACCTCGGAACCGTTCCGCGCGTCCTTGATGGTAAACGTGCTGTTCCACGCGCCCTCGATTTCGTAGATGGTATCACCAGGCTTGTCTGCGTGGAAAAATCTTGCGTGGAATCCATTTTTATGCCCTGATCCGAACAAAGACTTGCCCTCGAATTTGATATGCGATATGTATCCGTTGGAGGAGATGAGAGAATATTCGCCGTACAACTCCGGATGTGGAACCCCGCCTAAGAGACCCTTGACCTTAATGTTCGGCAGTGGAAGGAGGTAATCTTCGTCGTACTTGTCGACATGTACTATGGCGTATCCCTTCTGTTTGATACTGACGTTTCCAGAAAATGTGATTTCTTGCTCCGTAAACCCCTCCGCCCGGATCCCAACTTGATCGTTCCACAAATAGCACGCCGTTACAGGTGGATGGTGGCCGACTTGCTCGGAGATTAGTCGCGTCTCGCCCAGCTCCTCAGTATTCCAGCTTCCGAGGAACAGCTCGCCGAGAAAAGCGTTCAACGGCTTCTTGACGCCATCTTCCTCATTCCGCCCCGCATATTGCTGTCCTCGTAACGAGCCTAGGAAGTTCTTGAGCACAAGCAACGCGCGTTTCTCAGGGTCCTCTTCCAACGCCGGTGCAGCCCAGAGATATGGATGATCCGCCCAGTACTGTGGTATCTCAACTGTCGAGTTCTCGGCCAGTACGAACGGCGGTGCAGTAATGTTTGAAAGATCTCCCGAGATGGTCGCTATGGAACCAATAAAGTCCTTGAGCCCAGAGCGGTTTGCTGCGATATCATTTGACATAATTGCGATTTTAGGTTTGACTTGGCTATCATCAATGCCGGGCAATGAACCTAGTTATGGGGAAGATGAGTGACTTCCTAAAGTAGCGCCAAGTCATGACGTCGGTGGTGCAAGACCCTACGGCCTGCGGCTAACAACGTGAGATCTGGCTTGCCCTGGATTTTGGTAGGCTGTGCACCAACGACTCCAACGCCGCATCGCGCAATCTGCCGTAAAGGCGTACGCGATCGATGTTGGCCCGTCGCATAATCAGCCCGACCTAGCGTAGTCCGACTGCATGTGAGCGACGCGACAGCGACGTCGCGTATTCCTCCCTAACGGTCTCATCCCGCGACAGATCCAAGCTCATTGGGACGATTAGCAACTAACCACCGCCGACCAGGACAGATTCTCGCCAGTCAGGCAACCTACTGCAGACTTCACTCGACATACTCTGCTTACCACTCATCCGACATACCCGTCTTGGCATCATCACCACATCGAGCCTGCTAACAGGTGTGGAAAGCTGTGAACGAGACGGGTTAGCCTGCAGTTGCTTTGCCTCATGAACGTTATCAATTTTGCTAAAAACAACAAAACCTGCTCACGGCGCAGGATAACTCAGCGCAAAAGCCTCTCTAATCTCGTCTTCGCCCCATCCCATCGTCAGTCCCAACTGCAACAGAATTCTCGCCTTCTGGGGGTTATAAAACCCACTCGCAATAGTGAAGTCGCCACCGTCCGGTACGAGTCCATCAGCACTTCGATGGCTAGCCACCATCGGGATACCCGTCGCGTTGTATAGCTCCTCAGCAGCCAAAGCAGCCTTGCTAGACACACCTCCTGCGCCGACTCCAGCGTAAACGATTCCTTGGGCGCCGGAAGCATAGGATGCGTTGAAAAGACTGGGATCCATGTCCTGGTGTGCGTAAAGAATTGGTACGGAGGCTAGGTCTGTGATGTTGGTCACGTCGAAGACTACGCGGCCTACGGGCTCAGATGGTGCGAAGAAGAAGAACGGAACTTGGTTGATGAAGACACCGAGTTGGCCGGCTTCAGTCGAGAAGAATGTGTCGAGTGTGTTGGCGTTGTTCTTTGTGGTGTAGAATGCTGAGCCGATGCGGTCATTGAGTACGATCTGAGAGTATTGTTAACTTGCGTTTCTAATTCAGTCTTTGTTCATCTACTCACCATCGTTCCTCGGTTTCTTCCAGCTGGAGATCCGGCTAGTGTGACCGCTTGGTATAGATTGAGCGGGCCGTCTGCACTCAGCGCGGTCGCTGGTCTCATAGCACCAACCACAATAACGGGTTTCGTAGAGTTGACGGTACTTTCCAGGAAGAACGCAGTCTCTTCAAGCGTATCCGTCCCATGCGTAACGACAACACCCGAGATCTCATCTTTCGCCAATTCGGCATTGATCATGTGCGCCAGGCTCAGACTAATCGTCTCATTTATGCTACCAGAGCCTACATTTGAGATCTGGTAGCCGGCAATGTTCGAAATGTTGAGGAGTTCGGGGACTGCATCTACGAGTTGTTGTACCCCGAGGCCGATTGAGTAGCCGGTTGTCTGTGTGTTGCTGTTGCCCTGAGACGCAATTGTACCGCCAGTTGCGAAGATCGTGACATTAGGAAGAGAAGCGTTTATTGGTGTTTGGATGTCTTGTCGGACGAACAGTCGGTGGACATTTGAGCGACTGAGATCAATCGGTGAAGCTAGTGTAAGAGTCGTGAGAAGAGGGAGGAGTTGGGTAGAGAGCTTCATCTTGGCGCATGAAGGAGGCACGTAGCTGGATTACAGCCAACTTCCTAGGAACTCGAATTGACCTTTTATACTCTTCGTGATCTCCAACTCATGCAGCTCCAATGCCAAGCTCACCGTCGGCCAACGTACAACGCCTATCTCCACGGCCTCTTATCAAGCCATCTTCAAGCTACTGTCAAGATACTGTCGTCATGCAGTCTTGGTATTTCTACAAGCAGCTCGATTAGTGAGTTATGCGAGTCGTAGTCAAGCTTCGCTCTCTTGGCCATGCAAGTCCTCCGGATTTGTCGTGGTATGGTCGGGTCTTATCAGTAAGCCTTGCATGCGATAACCCACCCTCTGGATCCGCTAGAAGATATCTAGTAAGAACGCCAAGTGTGCGTTAGCAAAGCTCGATGACAGGGCATTTTTCATGATAGCCGTTACCGGCGTCTAGTCTTGACGCTTACGTTTGTTTTTCTTCCGGATTTGTGTGGGCGGTACAGGGACGTGGAGGTGCGAGGGCTGTATCCTCGGAGGTATTGTGGTGACCCCGCTCACTCACGCCTTTCGTCCCGATTGGGAACCAAACGACAAGAAGGCGTGACCGAAGCAATTTCTTGACGAAAAGTACAACAGGATGATGTGATTCCTTCATGGATCGCCATACTACGCTTCTATTTCTATAACAGCCATGTGCCCACCATCCGACCTAATCATCACCGAAGCCCAAGATGCAGACAATAGAGCATACAAGCACCTTTCCGAGTACAGCCTCAATACACCAATATTGAAAGCCGCATATGCACATGCAGCTGAGCTGCTACATCCGGCGATTTTGAACCACAGCATAAGGGTGTATCACTACGCCTACGCATTGGCAAAACACGAATCCTCCACGTACTTCACGGACGTTCATCAACGCGATCTACTCTTCACCGCATGCCTTTTCCACGATATCGGGACTACCCAAGATTATGATGGCCCGCAGCGCTTCGAGATAGAGGGCGCCGACGCCGCAGTCAAATTGCTAAGTGGCTTTGGGGTAGGTGGGACAGAGACGCACGATGTCTGGACAGCCATCGCCTGCCATACCAGCCCACAAATCGCCGAGAGAATCGGAGAGCTTTCGAGGCTGGTTCGGGTCGCTGTTATTACGGATTTCGGGCGGAGAGGCGAGGATTATGAAGTGCTCCAGTCACTGACTGAGAAACTGGAGGCGCGGTACGAGCGGGCGGGGATCGAGAAGGTGCTTGGTGATGCGGTGGTGGAACAGGCAAAGCGGAGGCCAGATAAGGCGCCGAAGGTTTCGTGGCCGCGTGCGATGTATGAGGCATGGCTCGTGGAGCCGGAGTGGGTCGGTGTCAACAAGGCGTTCTGAGACGCTGTATGCGAGCTTCGTATCCTACAGCCTTGTAATCCACCGATGCTGTCACGTCTTCAACCTCCGTCGCTCCTCTCCAAGAATCCTGGATCCCTCTCAATCTTGCCCTCGAACTTTGTCCACCATGCCTGGAATGCCTTCAGCGGCACTGTGTCTCCGGAGCCCCAGCTTGTCAAGAAGTCGTAGCAGTTCTTGATGATCCTCTGCGCCAGCACCTTGGTCTCCACGCTTCTTTGTCCTCTCAGCACCAACTCATTGCCTTGTCCCATGCTTGGTGTTGCCGATGCTGCGGCCTCTTGAGCCTTGTTCTGCTCCAGAGCTGCGGCGACTTGTTGCGCTGGTTCAACGCTTATCCCAAGGGCCAGCGGCACGGTGCTGCCATTCGACGCGTCCATCGACACGCCCTCGTCCACCATGGCATCGTCATTATCGCCTAGGCCACCACCTGCAGGCCCACCAGCTTTCGCGTTCACTTTGAATATCGCGCTAGGCTTTTCGTTCGCGATCGCGCCGAGAAGTTTGAAGTCGGTCGTACCGGGTAATTGCGCGTATACGGCGGCGGCGGTGCCATCTGGTAAGGTGACGCCCGGAAGCAGGAAGACGACGATGTGGGAGAAGGACGGCTGCGAAGGGATTTGGAAGGCGAACTGGGTCGGCGATATAACGGAGGAAGGCTCGGTGATGACAGGCCGCCCTGAGATGATAACACCGACTGGAGACATGTTCACGTGTCGCAAGCGCGTGATTCGAAGCTATGCGAAGAAGAAGTACTTGAGATGGCAGTAAGGCTGCAAGCCGCGCGTGAAAAAGTTTGACATGCAACAATCATCGTTGCGCAGCCTTTGCGACATTTCGAGATGCTTCTGCGTCATTCTTGGTCCAAGCTTCACCCCACATTCACTCGTGAGTGAAGGAGCTCAGACTGGCCGTGAGTTAAGATGACGTTTCGTGCTGCATCACAAGAAAAGCAAACGTTCTAAACTTAGTCATTCCGTCCGACTTCTGAATATAGCATGCTCGTAAGTCCCTCGTAATGAATAACGCAACTGCCCTCAGCTCATCTCACATCCTAAACCCATGCACAGCGCTGACCCACCGTTGGTCGATTAGCTCGCTGGCCCTCATCAGAACGCGATATCCACCCATCAAAGCTTGGAATGAATGGATTCGCTCCTCTTCACTCATCAGAAAGAAACGGGCGAGACCAAATGCTGAGACTGTCTTCGCGTGATGGGTTGAAGAAGGAGCTATCGGCATGTGCAAGGGTTTGCGGAGCCATGCCATGATCACTTGAGCAGCGAATGGGTTGAGGCCGACTCGACGGAGGAAGACTTCCCAGCTTGTCTCTTGCGCCACAGGCTTGATGTCGCCAATGTCTGCTGAGCCATATGGCAATCCGTAGTTTGCCATCTCAACGACAGTGAACCGCGCCAGAGCCTGTTCCCCTCCACGAACGTATCGAACAAGCACTTCGCCTTCTAATTTGCTAGCAAACATATCGAAAGCTTTGAGAGCTTCTGTATCTCGTGGGTCGTCTGGTCGGCTCGATCCTAGCTCTTCCATCTCGCGGCTTAGCCCTTCGCTCACCAACACTATCAGTCTCTCATACCGCAGTTGGAGCTTCAACATGCGTTCTTTCACGGGTGATTTATCTGGCTGGCCAGGGAGAGCTCTTTGCTTGATCTGCTGTAAGGTGGTAAAGATGAGGCCGGTGGAAGGTGACAGTATGATCTCAGCTTCTTTGGCTGCCGAGTGCGGTAAGGTGTAGTCTCGATACACCATCTCTGCACTTGGGTAGATCGACTCGATCATTTTCAGCATTCCCCTTTGCTGTAGAAAGGTCGATGAGATCACGAAAGAACAAGGCGCCAGATTACTCGGAACGGTAGGAAGCTGGGGTAGCGGCTTGTTGGTGGTTTGTGCCTGCTGAGCCAGATGCACTGGCTGGTCGGACGAAGACCCCCTTGATCGAACCGGTAAGGTGTGCGTCATCGTTTGATTGCGATCCCTAGAGTCAGACACTTTTGCGGTACTGCTTTCTACGCGATCTACTGGCTTCCCTCGCGTCTGCATGAACTTGTTAAGCGCGGTTGTTGCTGAGAACCCACCAAACATCAGGTCTCCTGTCGCTTGTTTGGCAGCTTGCGGTTTCTGGGAGGCATGGCCCAGCCTCTTCGATCGGGTCTTCGCCGACTGGTCTTCTGTTGGCTCGCGTTCTCTAAAGTGGTGGCTCTCTTGCATCTCTGTGGAGGATCGGATCTGTGGACGCGCAATCGGCTGCGAAGAGGTGCGCCTGCGATGCTTCTCTACGACCTCTTCCTCCATTTCAAGTTTTCGCTTGCGTATCAGAGCCTCCATGTCGTTTCGCTCATCGTATTCCTCTGGATCCAAATCTTCTTCGTCCTCATCTTCGTCAAGGATACGCAGGCCTTCGCGTTTCCACACTTGCGCTGAGCTAGTCGCGACATCGCCCGTAGTCAGTTCAGTGACGATCTTAGCAACTTCCGACTCGCCATGAAGCTTTTCTTCGAGACTGAGAGTAGACACCTTGGTAGTGAGAAAGCCCCACTTCAACTCTCGTTCCGGGATCGAAAGCCCATGCCACGACTTCGCAAACCTCAGATCCTCTCGCTTGATGCGTAAGAGGAATTGCATCTGCGCTTGCAGTTCCGTGTCATCAGGTCGATGGTCGCCACCCTTGCGCCGACTGTACTCTATCCATGGTGCCATGGGCAGCGAGAAGTCCATGTATGGAATATCGACTCTTGCAATCGTGTCAGCGCCGGACAGTCGTTCGTTTTCGATTTTCTCGTTGGCGCGCTCAGCCTGCTCCTCGATTTCGTGGAAGAATTGGTCAGAGCCAGCCCCACCTTCATCATCCTCACCCCATGGCTTGTAGAGTAAGGATTCGTCCGCGAAAGACACAGATTTGAGCCTTTTCATGGGCGAACTAGAACACATCGATGGCGTAAGAGGACCTTCCACTTTGAGATCCTCAGCTCGGCGCTTCAGTATGGGCGAACTGGTTGGTTCGAAATCAGGATTAAATTGAGATGGATGAGCAAGATCAAATAGCATCGAATCACTGCTATTCGAGTTTGTGCGAAAAAGAACGTCCGCTGCCAGAATTTGCTCCTGCAGAGCCTGCGCCTCAATAGTAACCGATTCGGCAGTATCTGAATCGAATGGCAGACGATTTGTGGGTGAAGATGGAATGTATGGTGTCAGTGGCGGCGATACTGGGAGTAAAGGCGGTGTCACAGGTCGGATATTGGGCTTCTGAGTCGGTTAGCAGGCGAACATAAACAACACTTCCACATACCTGTTTTCGTATCAGGCTCTCTGCCTCCAGCCTTTGGCCGTCTTCCGGTACATACGCGTCTCGAATAGTGTCCTGGAGATAAACCAACACCTCCCGTGAGATGGCGAGCTTTTCGACTTTGACCTGCGCGTCGCACTGTGCAGGGTAGTCGAGATACCTCGCTGGCCATCCAAAGCCCTCATCGTTTTCTTCTACCATGATCTCCGAAGGAATCTGTAAATTCTTGAAGTCTGGCACAACTGTACCACCGAAGTTGAGCAAATCAAGCTCATGATCAGATCGTAGCACAGGTAGCTCTTGACGTAGATCGCGCCTCCACGTCCGGCTATTAGTAACCGTCAGGTCGCTCGGAAGTTCATCCTGGAGAGCATGTGCTGCCTTGAGGAGCCACGCAGTGTCTTTGTTCACCGTAAGCTTTTCTTTGACAAGCCCGCTGACAGCCGTGTCGATGGTCGCATCGGAGGGCTCGTGGAGATGTCGATCGATCTCATCGTCTAATGGTGACTGAAGATGGCGAATGTGCAGTAACTCTGTCTCATAGTCCACGCAAACGCCTTGCGCTCTCGCCCATTCGAGGACGCTTGGCTCCGATGTGTCCAGGCCGAGGTCCAGTTCCATGCTGGTGGCATATGAAGAATGTTCGCTCTCAAGTAATGTGGGTAACAATAGTCGTTAGCCGGCTGTTGTTCGTAAGAGAGGCACAAATGGTGAGTGTCGATTGCGATGGTTGCGCCTTCTTCGTTGTATCTGCCTTGGCGTCCACGTGGACACTCACTTTGCAGTCGCGCAATGTCACAGCAAGGAAGGAGCAGGGAAAGTTTGATGATGATTTGATTTCTTGTTTCATTAACTCGTGGCTTATTTATGCCATGATATGCTCTAGGCCGTCCTGTATATTTTCATGTGAATGTGCAAAGGATTTTGAACTATGTACATGCGAGTAGGACTGTATTTCCTTCCACTAGCTACGCGCGTCTATTTGGGAACAGGCTTCTGACCGAAGCCGAGAGACTGGTTTCCTCCGTTGAAAGCAACGAGCTGGGCCTTGAACATTGTGTCACCGTAAATCTGAAGACCGGCGCCCTGGTTGCCCTGTACACCGCCGAAGCAGGTCGTGTTGGCTGCATCAACTGTGGCGAAAGTAATCTGGCTACCGGGGATCTTGGCCATGTATGAGTCGCCGATTGCGACACTCATGTCAGGGAGGGCAGTACCGCACGGGTAGATGAAGCCACCGACCTGAGCGTTAAGCTGAGCACCCTGGACTTGCGAGTAGTATGCCTCGGCAACCTGCTGGTCGACGAGCAGGAGCGATGTACCGGTGTCGGCGATGGCGTCGGAGCCTTGAGGGTTCTCGAAGAGCTGGTCGCCGACGGCAAACTTGGTAGAGCCGAATTGCCAGAAGCCAGTGTCAGCCTTGACTGGGATCCATGCCATATCGCCTTCAAACTTCGTAGCATCGATCTTGCCGAACTCGTAAACACCGGTGCCATCTGGGTCGAGGTCGGCAGTGAAGACGGGCATGTCTAGGTTGGGCATGACGTTGTCGAAGAAGGTCTTTGCGGGGGTCTTCTTGGTACCATCGTTGACAGTGTTGAGGTTGGAGAATGCAAGACCGACAAGGCCATCAGTGTTGGTGTCCTGGACGAAAGACTGGGATACTTGGTTGGCAAGCTCGACAGTCTGGCCCTCAACCTTGACACCTCCAATGGTGACAGTGTCAGTGCCAACAATACCAGCAGCGCCGGAACCGTCACCGTAGCTGATCTTCCATTGAGCACCGGCAGTGGCCTTGAAGGAAGTAGACTTGGATGCGTCGAAAGCTGAGTGTTGGCCGATCAATTGCGGGTCGAGCTCAGTGCTGAAGCACCAAAGATCGGAAGAACCAGAATCGAAGTCCAAGTTCAGGGTCTGACCACCAATATCGACGGGCGACAAGAACAGAGCAGCGTTGTCCTCGGGGTTGGCTGCAACACTGCCAGTCTTGTTGCCACCAGTGGCAGCAGCAGCGGTCACGTTCTGGCTTTGCTTTGAGAACGAGATGAAACCCTCCTTGACCATGAAGTCTTCCTTCACCTTGAAGTTGTACTTCCTGAACACCTTCCTCATAGCAGCAGCGCCATTAGGTCCAGTCGGGTGAGCCCTGTTGATTTGCCTGGGAACTTTGAACGAGCGTTTTTGGAGACCCCTCTTGCGGGCAGGGGCGGGAGCGGCAAGCACAACGGCCGCCAAAAGAGTGACGAAGAATAAGAATCGTAGAGAAAACATGTTGAGCTGTTGAGCTAATGCTGACCGGCAGCCGGACTGGAAGAACCTGTCGTTTGGAAAGAAGAGAATGGGGTAAAGAAAGGAAGGTACGAAACGAAACACAACTTCCTCGAAAGAAACAGAACAGAAGGCTCGGCCTGATGGTAGTCCACGGTTCTCAAGGAGGGTGCGAAAAGAGTGCTTTTAAAGAAGGAACGTCTATGCGACCAACGATGTAGAGACAGTGAAACTCGAGAAGGATGAAACCTGAGCCTGCAATCCGAACCGATGCCGACGCATGATGAATGATCTGGGAGCGCTAACTCGACACTCAAGGCCAAGCTGAGATCCACGCGGCAGCAGACAAAACGCTACGCGTGCTGCATTGTCGATGATCCATGGGGAACATCAAGCCTAGCTCCTGTCAGGTTTTCAGGCACAGAAATCTAGAAGCCCGTCTAGTTGGCTACTAATCGTGCGAAACGGGGACTATGGGTCTAGATATGGCGATGTGATTGGCCCAAAAGCATCTCGAGCCTCCTCGGAGAGGTATCGATAAGGCAATGGGGTCGTTACGCGTCCAGCTTGACGCTGTTGAAGAAATGTGGAGAGAGCTAGCATCAGGCAGGGCTCCGACTGCAGGTACGTTTCAGTACCGTGGTACCGACAAACGTCAGAGTCGCACGAGAGGCTCTCGAACGGTAGTGCTAGCTTGCGCCTGGTGATGCTAGAAAGTTGTTTCTGTCAGCCACCTCATTTCAACTGACCATTGTGGCTGCTCTGGTGTTCTGGAGAGGTACGCCTCTTCTCGCCGAGTCGCTTGAAGTTGACGACGCGCGGTCATGCCGTCAACGAGCATGAACGGGTGAGCTGACGAAGCCCGGGGGACGGTGTTTCGCAATGCCAAGACTAGACAAGCTAACTGGGCGTCGCCTCATGGATGAAACAAAGGGCCCGCCAACCCGCAACTCGAGAAGCCGGAGGTCTTCCCATGTCTCTCGTACACCCGGGATGTCAGACAAGCAGCCGCGGCGAAGCTTAACTGTCATGTTGCGGGATCGGATTTGCAGTTTCTCCAGGACCAACCAACCTGATGCGCGTCTTCCCAAACATGCTCCATCATTACAAACATGCTTCATAGCGGTTTCGCGCCACTTATCTCGGCAAGCAAACAGACTGGGCATCCGCCGATGCGAGGTTCATGTTTCGAACATCAAGGCTTTGAAGCTGTTAGTGAGGCCGGTGCGGCATTTTCCTGATTTCGCAAGCCGTCGCGTTCAAGGGCGAATGGCCGGCGCCAGGCGGCGTGGATGATCGAGCTTCTCCACTTCATTCTTTGGTACTGCGGCGTAGGGGAGATTGCGCAAAGCATGATTGAGCGCTGTGGAGAATAGTCCGCACGCTGCGCAGGTGGCGTTGAGAAAAGCAAGTTCATCGTTCTAGGCAAGCGAGAGGGTGTCGTCACGAAAGGGAACCGCAAGTGCACGGGCGCAGAAGAAAGACACTTTCAAGGTTTTGACACTGACAGGCAAGGAGCATTGCATGAAATCAATGCATATATTCGAATATTGAAAGAAGGCGCTTTTGTTCTATCATAAGGCGATATTCCGTCTACGTCGTCAACGCGCCGACCGATGCCTTTTCATTATCATGAGCACGACATCAACGCCCACCCGCACACCCAACTTCACCGGTGCCAGCTCTCAGATCTTTCGCTCTGCGAGAATTGTGCAACGTCCACACCATATCCAAGTGATGGGTGTATAACTTGGTGCTGCACCTTCGAGTGCGGTGGCGTCCAACCCCTTGGGCATGAACTTCGTACTCCGAACATCGGCCGCCTGCATGGGGCGATGCGTGGCGTCTGGATGGCGTTGGTATGGCTCAAATGTTGATCATCAAACGTGTTCATCCAAGCAGTTCCACATCTAGACCGATAGCCCTCATGAAGAGGTTCACGTTGGCCGTACGTGCGCTTGCCATCTCAGCGGGCAAAGCCTTGCTAACAGAGACCGTCTCCATGACGCGGTCCTTGACGCCGAGCACCAGCCTCTGTTGCTGCTCGGGACTGGCGCCCACACCCATTGCAGCCAGGAACTGCCAGATGTACATGTCGTCGGTGTCGTTGATAGTTCCTGGGAACAAATAAGGAAGAACAGGCTCGATGACGTCAAACAGACGGTTGTAAAGTGCCGTCCATTGCTGCCAGTCGGTGACCATCTCGGGAGCTGACTGCTTAAGAAGCTCGGCGCGAGAGATGAGGAATGTGAGGAGAGTGAGACCGATCCTGCTTCGAGCCACAGTATGGAGGTTGGTGCGGTCCAGAACAAGACCAAGAAGGCCGATGACAATGTTCAACGGCGCTTCTGAGATGTGCGCGTGGAGAGGCGACATGACAGTGCTAGAGAAAAGGTCAACCTCTTCTCGGATTGCTGCACTCAAAGGCTCCTCGGGCGTAGCGATAGCACGGCCGACCACGGAAAGGGCATCTAGGTGGACAACGATCATAGTGACGACGGTAATGCGCTCCTGCTCGTTGATGTGGCGGAAAAGTCGTGGAAGTACCTTCTTTCCCTTGGCGTGTGAAAGGATGGAGATGAACGGATGCGGTGTGCTAGAGTTTGTTAGCAAGAAAGAGGCTTTAGGAATATTATAACATACGCAGGGTTGATGGGCTCCATGATCTTTGTGTTCAACCACAGTTGCTGGTGGAGCGCTTCGATCTTCGAACGCCATTCCATGTGTGCCTGGATGGCTTCAGGAGGGCTGCTCTCTTGGATCGGCGGTGGCATTGCCCGCTCGTGGTCTTCCATTTGCATGAGTGTCTTGTACACCGCCTCGATGTTGCGAAGAGCCTCCTTCCGGTCAGCGATGGAAGACCGGTGGTTTTTCGGCAGCTTATCGTTCGTCTCTGGCCGCTTCAGATTGAGCAGCGGTCGGGGGGTCTTGGAGTTGCTGAACGCAATCTTTCCAAGACTACCTTCCACAACAAGCTGCCTAGCCTTTGGTCTTGCTTTGGCCGCCTCAACTGCGCGCTGGATCTGTTGCTCCATGCGCTGCATGTGGTTGTCTCCGCCTCGGCCTTGTCTGCGGTTGCCAAACCTGTTGTTGGTCTGGAACAGGTATGTTTGAGCGAATTGGCTTGCTGGCTGCTGGGGGTTTTGGCGTGGCGCACCCCGGATCTGGGTGAAGACCTGATAGTAGAAGTCCTCTGCAATAGCTGCCTCAGGTCCTCTCTCCTCCAAGTTGCCCGTCGCGGTCATGAGCTGCTGCAACTGGATTCGAGTGATGAAGTTCTTGTCCTGCGGCGTCATCAGGCCGTTGTCCTTCGCTAAGAGAGCAATCTTGTGGTTCCGCTTGGCCCGTTTAGC